TAGAGGAAAAAAAAAAAGCGGTAACCTGGTTGCCGAGTTCACGAAGTGAATTGGCTTGTTTTACAACGTCGTTGCCAAGCGACGAAAACCCAACCCCGATGGCAAACACCGAGGGGGACGGCTTGTTTTACAACGTCGTTGCCAAGCGACGAAAACCCAACCCCGATGGCAAACACCGAGGGGGACGGCTTGTTTTACAACGTCGTTGCCAAGCGACGAAAACCCAACCCCGACGGCAAACACCGAAGGGGGGGGGGATACACCTTCCTAAGAAATAAAGGAATAAAATGGACAACAGAAAATTCCTCCAAGGCATGATTTGTTATCCAACCGAAAAGAGATCAACAGTAAGGCAAACTATAATCGGGATAAAGAGACGATCGACGACCCCGGTCAAAGGGATGTAATAACGAAAGGCAAAAGAAAGCGAGAAAAGAAAGAAAACATAGAGAAAGAAAGACAACGAAATAAATAACGGCAGATAGACAGGTCTCCTCCAACACTCCAGTTTACCGGAACAACAACGAACTATAGGCCAATACTAACGCGACACCAAACAGATACAGGTACGGTAAGGAAATGGCTTGTCGGAAAAACTGAAAATATGAAAATATGCAACACACAAAATGGATCGTCCCTCCTTGCTTTGCCGTGGAAAAACAAAAATAATAAGACGACGAAGCAGACCACGAAGCGCACCAATGAGAAAAAAGATCACAGCCGTTAGAGCTAGTCCGAGAAAATTGAGGGAAGGGTATGCAGCAGTAAGAGGCACAACCCAAACAGTACTGCTGTACACCTGATTTACGGCTGAGGCGAGTAAAACAAAAGACCCTCTGTGGCAAATTGGCATGCGGTCTTATAAGTTACTTGGGTGCCGACCAACCTGTCGCACCAAGTACTCATCGTCGACTCAAACTGGCCAGATGAAACAAACACGGACCGCCAGTCCCGGCGCGCGGTTCTACCCAACACTTCAAATCGTCCCCAAGGCACCCCCCCGACAACAAGGCAATCTACGAGCCCCCCCCAACCAACCCCGCTCACCTTGTCGGCGAGGTTAAAGAATAGAAACTCTTTTGCGTTTGCCTCCCAGCCCGCCCTCCTCGCGTCCGCCAGCGGCGCTTCCGCCTTGACCTGGATGTCCCGTGCCACCTGCCTGACCGTCGAAGGCGTCGCCGAGAGCTACGTACGCCGTCCCATTACGTACGTTCGTACGTACGCGTATCACCAGCGTTGGGGAGAGGCACAGGGTGCACCACAAGACGACGGTCCGGAGGGACATAAAACGCAACACACACTTCCACAAGGTGGTGGCGGTGCTAGGCTAACAACAACAACAACAGGGGAGACGGAACGTCAAGCAAACGACAGTACTCTCACTGGTGCTGCCGCCGCTGCAGGTACTGCTGCGACAACTGCCGCTGTTAAATCGACTTCGTGCCGTCCAGAGCTCGCAAGTGCACCACCTACGACCGCGTGGCCAGCACGATAGCGTTGCAATAAGTATCCATGTTGAGGATGTCATGTGGCGATACTACCCAAACAAACAGGGGGTCGGAACGAGGACGTTACCACATGCTACGTCTACCAAGCACCACATACGGATCTGTGGAGATCAAAGGGGTTTCCGTGTATCATGCTGGTATGTGTTGTTGGAAGGGCGATCCCCCTTCTGGCGTGCGTGGGCCAGCGCGCCCTCTTCACTCGCTAATGACAAAGTCTGCCTCCAGTACCCAACAAACAACACACTAATGCACCTTGTTGAGGCAACCCTGGTATGACTTCTTGAAGGCCATCCTGATCTTTTTCACCCCTGGGTCAGTGCTTGCCAGGATCTTAGGCGAGCACCGTTCAGGACGAGAGAGGGACAGACAGTGATAGAAAGAGAGAGAGGCTGAGGGGGAGAGAAAAACAACGAGTTAAAGTGTCAGCGATACAGAGATTGCTATCGAACCAAACCAAGGGCAAGAGTTCTCGAAAGACTTCGAAGCCCTCTCGGTTGGAGAACTGTTCGACTGTTCGTTCAGACTAAGCCTCAGAGTCACAGGCAGCCAAGCGCCTACCTCAGAAGTGCTCATGGCTGCAGCTGTTTTCACACAGGGATTTCGATGAAACACAAACTGTCAGCTCGCGCTTCTTTCACTAAGACCCACTTGTTGCGTTTCGTTTGCGACAAATACCCGTTCGGTTCTCGATGTCTCGATGCAGCAGGGCCCACGGTTTGGTTTCAAACCAGACCCTTGTACCTGCTGTCTCCAGATAGCGACGTCCCGCCTCGCTCGTCGTTTCTCCGGAATACGCAAGGTGCAGCACCAACGCTGCCGTTTCGCCGCCGTCTTCTGTGTAAGATGCACCAATGAATACCCCCCATCTCGCGCTTGCCACCACGACCCCCCCGGTCGAACCGGTTCGCGCAGGGCCGCATAGATTTCATGACAATCAACCTCTGGGCATCGCAAGAATGAGAGGATTCGTCTTTACCCTTCTCTGGCATGCGATTCCTTACTTCCACACCCAAACAAAAAACAAAAAAACGACCCCCCCCCCCCCCCCCCCCCCCCCCCCCCCCCCCCCCCCCCCCCCCCCCCCCCCCCCCCCCCCCCCCCCCCCCCCCC